TCATATGTATGTTTTAATGTATGTATCCTAGAATCAAAATGAAATATTTAATATAGTATCAGATTTGAAGAGAAGTTTTTGTTTCTGTCTCCTTTGCCAATTTATTAGCAACAAAATAAATACACAAAACATTAAAAAACTTCAAAGCGTTGTCCAGGATCTGACACAGAGCCAGAGAGGAGAGGGAGCTTGGTGGGGAGCTCGGATGGTGGTAGTAGAGTGGTAAGGAGGCAGATGGGTAAGTCTCAGAAATATTCATCTATTAGTATGTGTCAGGTACCACACTGGAAACTAAGGATATTATCATGAGAATAAAATCAGATAGAATCTTGCCCTTAGGAAACATGCTGCCTTGTGGCTCAGGCAGAGTTGATAAAATAATCAGACACTACTATATCATTATAAACTAAGACAGGTGATATGAAGAAAAAGAACAGGATCTAGGAACACATAAAAGGAAAAATAAAACCTTACCTAGACTGGGATGCAGGGAGGGGTGGGGAACAGGGAACACATCCCCTAGGAAGTAGTCTTTGAATTAATTTATTAAGTAATGGGGGAATAGGAGGTTGCTGATTCCAGAATAGCCTAGGATGAGAAAGAAATTGTCCTCTTCCAGTACCTGAGAGGTCTCTCTCTGGAAGCGCAGAGATGGAGAGCCACTGAAGCAGTGGGCACAAGTCATACCACATTACGCTCTGCAAGCAACTAAGTGTTCAGAAAAGGTTGGGAGGGAAATAGGCGGCGTGCATAAGTGCACACCAAGCTATTGAGAGGGTTGATAAAAACCGATGCTGGTTTAAGCTCTGGTGGTAACGTGGAGATCAAGAAAACTGAGGTGTCCAAGAGACATTTAGAGAGTGAAAATGTAGACAGTATGTGCTAATAAACTGAACTGGGTGTCATGGGAGAGGAAGTAGCTAGGAAGCTATTAAGCTTTACTGACTTTGTACAATTGGAAGGTGTCACCAAGACCAGGGACACAAGAGGCTCTGTTTGGGAAGAGAAGAAGAGGGTGTGATGTGAATTTCATGGATTCGGCCTCAGAAACTTTTAGTCTGAGATGTCTTTAAGAGATTCAAGTAGAAATGTTGATCAGGGAATTAGATAGATGGTTCTGAAGCTTACAGGAGAGCCTTGGCCAGACAATAGTTTAAAACTGAACACTTGAGGACTCTAGACTGATATGGCACTAGATGATGGGGTGAAAAGAGTCCTAGATTGCTCATACTTTCTTAACTTAGTACCTAATGTATTTGCCTAATGTATTTGGCAGTCTATAGGTTGCCTCTAGCTCTTAGAGCTGGAAGGATCTTTCCTACTTGGACTAGAAAAATGTATTTATGATATCCTAAGTTTTAATTCTGAGTATGTTTTCAAAAGAAACATGACATTTTGGTTCCACTGAACCAGTCCTATACTCCCAGACTTGCTCTGAGGAAACATCTGGGATGGGCAAAACTGGGGCTAACCATGATTAATTAAAGAAAATTCCTTCTGAATTTCAATAACTCCTTCATAGGCTGGGAAATTTGGAAGATAAATGAAATATTATCCAGCCTTGCTTATATTGGTATTTCTAAAGCATTATGTTAAAATTGTAGTAGGTTAAAGCACTCATATGTACTTTAAAAATATTAAGAGTTGCAACTTAGTAAGGATAACCGATGGGTCTGTGTTTCCTATTCTGTAAATATACTGACTGTGCACAAATTTCGTGCAGATTAGAAATTTATATGTGTGTGAATGTGTATAGGTGTGTGTATATATACTATACACACATACACACACACACACACACACACACACACACACATATATATATATATATATATATATATATATATATATAG